TTATTCGTTCACAAAAATAAAACTTTTAATTTCATCATAGTATTTTACTATTATAGTCTATACATTATAGAGAAGCGACGAATGATTAATGAATCATATTTTGAAAAAAAAGCGAAAAAAAGATGCAAATTTATTATAAACAATAATAATACACAGTAGAAACTGTTTATGCAAAATAAAATAAATTAATAATAAATAAAAATAAACAAATATGACGTATGCATCAGTAGCAGCATATTAAAACGTGAAGAACAAGAAAATTAATGTAAATAGAAGCATTAAAAGCAAAACAAAACTCGAAACTACTAATCGACATGACAATTAAATTAACGGGTTTTATTATTCTTCACATTTCTCATCGATATATACATACATATTAGCTTGAACATCTGGCATTTTAAGATAAAATTAATAATAAGATACCTATGCAGGTTCATTATTTAGTTTATTTTTAATTAGTTTTAATTAAAAAAGAGTTTAATCGGTTGTCGAAGCACCTTATATGCCCAAAATTTACTAATTTTCCTTCAAAGTATATATTTTTCAATAAAATGTTTATTCTGTGAAACATTGTTGTGATTCCAAAGTACTTTTAAGGAGTTTTCAATGAACCCTAACTTTAACACCAGTTATTGATTATTGAAACCTTATATGTACAATCTTTAGATAAAAAGTTTATCGTTACAATACGATTCAAATAAGGTGGAAACAGTCCTAAACAGTGTTCTGCAGGCTAATCTATTTGCCATTATAAGAACTGCTTATTGTCTTAGGTTCTACGGAGTATACGACGTTGATGGAACATAGTTCGAATATGTTAGGCAGCCATTTTCTACACGATTTAACGGATTTATCTGAGCTGAGTATCCAAAAGATAAACTTCTTTATTCGTGCAATTATCTGAGCTGAGTATCCAAAAGATAAACTTCTTTATTCGTGCAACAAACTGTTTTCGGTAGGATCAAGTAGTTTACAAAGGAATCAATATGATGAACCCAAGTTTGTCGCCAGTGATAAAACACATGGAAACCTGCTTACTAATTATTAGCTTAAGCTAACAACAAAAATCGCATTATTAGAACTAGTTCTGAGAGAGTTGAATACGAACACCGAATTTTGAGTTAAGACAATTTATTGAAAAATGTTCACTATGTACGTATGTATTTCAAAATTAAACTTTTAATGCAGTTTTTTTTTTTTAAAAAAAAGTATGTTTGTATATGAATCGCCATAAAATGAAATAAATTGCCAAAACAAACATGTTGGAAACGAAATAATAAAAATAAAATTACGCCTCAAATTAATGGTGGGCACAAAAGCACACAAAAAATAAACAAAAATAAAAAATATGTACACATTTTTTTAATGTTGCAATGTTATGATCAATACACCGGGTGATGTTGTATAGCGTGATCTAACACACATTTATGTTTTATGTATAAATTTTCCAGCAAACTGGCCGGACAAAGTTTATTGCTACAAAAAAAGTGTATAAATTTTTGTTGTTAAACAAAATGTATAATGTATACAGCAATATCTAATCACTGTGTAATTATCATTAGGGATCAGGTGATTTTTAATAATGTCACCTGAATGATAAAGGCGCTTTTTACTATTCTGTTTGTAATTAAAGGATCAAAATTTATTATTAATTTCAATAGAATCTCAAGATAGTATACTTTCAAAAATTAGCTCATTAAAATGATATTTAGTATGTATGTACTTTAATTATCGAGATAGTAAACATATTTTTTGACTTTATGTATATATAAGGTACTTATACGCCACCGGAAAAGTGGCATCCTGTTATATTGTCAAAAAGAAATCTTTTAACTATTGCCAAAAAGAACCATATAAGTTTGTGTATAAATGTCAATTAAAAATTAAATGTCATTTATGACACAATTTACATTTAGAAAAAACCAAATTTAGTGCTATTTTTATTTATTTTATTGCATTTCACTCTTTTTCTGCTCATCCTGCTGTACATGCACTGACTCAATGTTTATTCAAATTAGTTTATTTCATTGCTGCATTAACAGTGCAAGAAATCTAATTAGGTCAAGTTGTTTCATGATCATGAATAAAAAATATAAATAATTCGTAAAATTTAAGCATGAAGCAAAATTTTCTTTAATATAAACATAAAACTTTTAAACAAATAATTTAATTAATTTAAATTAATCTTTAAAAAAAAATAATATTAAAAGTTGTATCATGCTAGAGTTTTTTTCACTATAAACTAAATTATATATTTAAATATGGCATGATTTAATATATTTGTTGTACACACCACACATTAAATAAGTTTGAATATAAAACATTGTTAGTTTTTACATATCGCACAATGTTGTTGTTGCTTAATTGGTCGCGATCAATGCCAAAACTTAAAATTAAGAAAAAAATACTAAATGAAACATATAAACGCCAGCTGTCACGTGACGTAAATAACCAAACGATAGAAATTTAAGAAATGAACTTTCAAGGTCAATACAAAAACTGCATTCACGTTCATATTTTTATTTTATTGAAAATATACAAAATAGTTTATAAAAAAAAACAACACATCATCAAAATATTTAAAATAATAATATGTATTGACGAATAAGTGTTTGTAAAATTCATAATAGCTGAGCATGTTAAGTTGCTTAATACAACAAAAATTTACTCCAAATATGAATGAGTATTTCAGTAAACAGTTGCTTTATATGCCGATTTTTTTTTTTCAATTTGAACTGTAATTGTGGAACGTGTGTTTTGGGTTTAATAACTTTGAAGGTTTAATGTTCATCGAGAGCTTTAAATATATTAAATCTTATACATATTCATTTAATTATTTTAATTTTTTCTGACATTAAAAACTTCTTATAGCCCTTTATCTTAACTTCCGGTTATCGTTTTTTAGGATTATGGATTATACAAAATTTTCGAAAATTCGAACTTTCGAAAAGAAGTAAAGCTCGTAAACCTTATTTGAAGCAAGTTTTTTTTTACTTTTTCAAATTTCGAAACAAAATATTTTGAAAATAATTTAAAAAATTTCAAGAAGTTTGAAAAATTCTAATATAAATTCCGAATTTTGTTTTGTCTAAAATCAAATTTTTATTCAATGATCGAATTTTTAGTACAAAATCTGATTTTTGTATAAAATCCAATATTAAGTTAAAAATTTATATTTTTATTAAAATATCTAATTTGTATTCAATATAAATAAAAAAAATTCTATGGAATTTTTTAATTTTTACTAAATTGCATACATTTACTACAAAAATTTGAATATGTAAAGTGACTATACAATGACTGAGTAGTAATTTAGATATTTGTTATAATTTTAAACAAATTCAATATAATTTTGTATAAAATATACAATTATAAGCATAATAAATAAGTACCATTGACTAGACAAATAATGTAGATATTAAAAAACATACTCAGTTAAAGTACAGTCGTTTTTTAAATAATTTCTTTTTTTTAACAAAATTAAATATTCATCGTTTTTTAATTACGTTTTAATATGCTATAGATAAATAGCTACTTTTAATACAAAATAAAAGTTCAAATGATGTCATTTGAATTCTATAATTATTTATTTGTTGAAAAGTGAACCATTGTCTAAATTTTAATGAAAATTTACAAAACTTTTTAAAAAATATGATAAAATTTACTTTGTTTTTAAATGTAGAGTGGTAAATTACATTAAACTCTTTCTTTTGTTATCATTTTCTTTTCATACTTGACTATATATTTACATATGTATGTATGTAGTATACTTGTTTATTTTTATATATGTACATATTTTGTTTTCTTACTTTCGATTCTTTGTTTTGAATTTTGTTTTTTACATTTTCCATTGCTTTTGTCAACAGTGGCCCCAAACAGGATCTATTGATAAACTTTATGTCCATTAAATATGTCACTCAATTTTAAATTATTGAAATGTAAATGACATATTTCATGTTCCCTTTAGCATACAGTATGAAAATGTACAAAAGGACAATATAAACTTATTTAAAGTTTCATACACTTTTTAAACTTGTCGATCATTTCATGTACAAGTTGAAATTTAGACCCTTTATATGTTTAATTTACATACATATGTAGATACATACATACATATATTGCGATTTTATATCTGCTTAGAATAATTTACATCTTTAAAAATATAAATTTAGTAAATTTGTATTTGTTTGAAATTACACTAAACATACATATATTTTTAAAAAAATAATGAGTCATAAATTATTATAAACTATGAATGTTAAACAAATCTTACGTCATAATAATTTATTTTAAAGGTAACAACAAGAAGTCGACAATTTTATAAATTTGTATTTCAAATTTTATGTTTAATAACTTCGACAAAGTGTATTATTAATGGTTTTTTGTTTTTATTTTTGATGGTTTTACATAATATGTATGTAAATATGTAAGCATTTTTATTTTTACGTGATATTTTTGACAAGAACAGGTTTCATGTGGAATTTAGGAAGAAATTAAAACTAAAAGTTAATGAAAAATTAAGTTGAATTAGATCTAAATCTTAAATCAAGCGATTTTGATTTATAGGAATTTTTAGTAAAGATTAATAATAATTCAAACTTAAATTTTGAGTTATCCTATTTTTAATATAAACATTATGTAGTTTGATACTTGCACAACTGAGAACGCATTGGAGCAACAATTTTAATGCATGTATGTATGTATGTATGTATGTATATTTCTTGGAGTTATCAGTCCCAACTACTATTCTCTTAAAAAACAAACAATGAACATAAATTACAAATAAAGTTAAAAATATAAACAAGTTTATGTATACACACACAAGATTCTTTCTTTAACCTAATTGATGAATCCAACAACTTCTGCCTATTTCTTAGCTTAACGAAACCAGTGATTTCGTTCGATAGAAAACCGGCAACATTTCAAATCACTTTTTTTAGTTATTAATAAAATTGAGTAGCAATTCTGATATTTAATTAAAATTAATTGAAAGTACTTACCACATCAATTGATAGACCGGATAGATCTGCCAACCAGGTAAATGTACGGCTACCGCCATAGTTGTCGACCTCATTCAGTGGTGTTTCTAACATTTTTGTTTCGTTTTTCCTAGACTAAAATTTGTTTTTTTTTTTTATTTATTTATTCTTTTTGTTTACTTTTTTTTGTTATTTAATAACATGGAGTTGAGAAATTCATTTGTTTCAGGTCATTTGTGGGATGGTCGAATTTGGGGCGTGAGATTTTGAATTTCTAGACTGCAAAAACAAAAATTATACTTGAAGACAATTGCAAAAAACAAAAAAAAAAGAGAAATTTCTTTTTATTTTTCTTTAGGGGAGTTTTGGTATTAAAAACAAAACAATAACAAAATACAAAGCAAAAGAACAACAATATTATTGAACATCAACTGTCAGTTGTGGTGTTTTTATATACATTTGTACACATGTATAGTATATGTAGAAATGTATGTACATCTATATACAATTATATATATTTATGTACATACATCCATATGAACAATATTGAGTATGGAAGTTTGTTTGCATGTAATGTTTGCAAAAAAAAAAATGTCCTTCACTTGAAACACAAACAATTTTTTTCTTCTTTTAGACTTTTTCAGTTTAACTTTTTAATTAAAACTTTTCACTTCTTAGAACTTATTTTTCCGTGATTACCACACTCAATCATCAAACTCAAAAAAAAACTTGAGCCTCCATGAGCTAGCGAGCAAAATTATATTACAACAAAAATAGACTCACATTGGTTAAAAAAAGAATTATTAATTGCGTTTCATTTATATTTTCACAAATACCCGTCGATTTTTATTTGTTTTTATATATTTTCACGTTAGCTATTTATGTTTACTGTAATTTTGTTAATATTTTTATTTCTTTTGCTGTTCCAGATAAAAAATAAGAAGAAAATATATAAAACAAAAAATTCTAATGAATGAATTTTTTCACTCCTTTGTTTTATAATCAAAAGCAAAAAACTGAATTGACTGCTGTTCAGACCTACAAGAAGAAAACAAACAGGGGCATTTTTAGCAAACTTTTTTCAGAGTTGCATAAAAAGGTACTTTTTGTGTATACACGTGGAAAAGTACATAAAAAATACGTAAAACACGTAAACAAAGAGAAAACAATAACAAACTAATTGATTTATTTCTAAAATATTGAATTATTGATATAAAATGAAATATATTGACTGTGCACCAAAATAAACTATACCGATCGATAGGGAATCAGAAAATGAATGGATTCCAGTATTTCATTTCTGGGTACTTGCTAACGGATGCTGAGACGTAACAAGCTTTAAAAAATTTGCATATTTAAAAAAACTTTCTGTTTAAAAATTTTTAAATATTATTTAAGCATCAAGGAAAAAAATCAATATTGGTATCGATTCCTTACTCGATTCCCTATCAATCACTGTTTGCTGTTTTGGTGCACACATAATACAATTAAATTTTTGTAGTATAAAAAACCTTTTCCTCTTTTTCGTTAGATTTGTGAATTTGTCAAAGTTTGTTGCGTTACAGAATCCAATAGAAAGTATCCAGGAAAAAAATCAATATAGGGATCGATTCCCTATCGATCACTATTGGCTGTTTTTGTGCACACGGAATATTTAAAATTTTTTTATGCAAAAACTTTTTCGCATTTTTCATTAGATTTGAGAATTTGTCAAAGTTTGTTACATCACAGCATCCGATAGAAAGTACCCCAATATAGTAATCGATTCTTTAATCGATTCCCTATCTATTACTATTGGCTGTTTTGGTGCACACAGAGTATTTTCAAATTTTATAGTAAAACTTTTTTCTTTACTTTGTGAATTGTTCAAAGTTTGTTACGTTATAGCATCTCATAGAATGTACCCCGGAAAAAAATCAATACAGAAATCAATTCGTCCTTCGATTCTCTATCGATCACTATTTACTGTTTTGGTGCACACGGAATGTTTTAAAATTTTTTTGTATAAAAACTTTCAAAAAATTTCCAAATTTAACACGTTCTGCGTTTGTTACAAACTCAAAATGTATGTAAAATGCAGAAGATGATAAAAGAAGAATTTGCAAAAAATTGGCGCGAAAACATGCAACTGCGCGCAAAAAATTGCAGACTTTTTCCTTCAAACAGATTCTGTTTGATGTCCCTTTAAAATACATTTGTTTGACGACCTAGGAAAGTTTGGTTTGTCAAACAGCAAATGTATTTTTCGTATCTCGTGTTTGCTACAAACACAAAGTCTTTGAAGTAAAAGCAGCGACTCGAATTTTACGCGCCTAATTCGAGTCGAATTAGGCGCGTAAAAAACTGAATTGACTGCTGTTCACAGCCCTGCGTCGTCAAATGTTAACGGCGGCGGCTATAAATCGACTGTGAAGCCTGCTAAAATTTCAGCCAAGGCGAATTCACATAAGGTGGTGTTGTTCAATCAGCTGATATTTTTTAAGTGCGTACGCACCGCTGTCAAAGTTTATTATTGTTTACATTTTAATATTCAAAAATTTCCGTTAAAACAGGGAAAACTTCGTTAGTATTTTGAATTATTTATGTAAAAAATCTGAAATTAAACGAATACTTGCAAACTTGCTCATTTGCACAAATGGTTATCTGTGTTATTTAGAAGAGAAAATTTAGTTTAAAATTATCAGTTCAAATAGGCGATCAAATGTATCAGTGTTGTGGAAGTAAAATACCAAACAATTTGTGAATAATTCAATGTAAAATCGAAAATTCACAGATTGCACAGTTTGCGAGGTTTTTGAACGTTTATATGTTTTATTATTTTATTTAAATAAAACAATATTCTATATTATTACTCGTTTTTGTTAAAGATGAAAAACAAAACAACAGTTTAATCAAGATATAATCCTTATTTATACATTAAACAAAATTTTGTTAGTTTTAATATTTAACATTTTTTTAAATTTTATTATACAAATATTTGATAAAAATTAGTCTTTATAAAAAACAAAAAGGATACATTTACGAAAATATAAAATAATAATTTCACCACTTTAGTTTTTTAATAGGAATATAATTGGTCTACATACTAGAATATCTAATGGCAACAAGATTTTTTCATGATTCCTCTTTTTCTAGATTCTATATTAGTAAAACGTAATACAGGAAAGAAGAGGAATTAATAAATTTCTATAATATTTGAATTAGAAAGTAAGTAGTATACTAATAAGTAAAATAAAATAGAAAAAATAACAAAAGAAAAAATATAGAAGGTACTTTATTTAATTTTAATTTTATGTAGTTTAAGCTTAAAGCCCAACATTTCACTAAGAACACCAGATAAAGCTGAAAGTATAACCACTTTAATGGTGGTAAACAGATAAGGATTAGCACTAAGGCCAGATATTTTAAAAGGTGTTTCCAGTTCTTTTAGAAGATCAGACGCTAATTTTAAAACGCTATTTGAAACCATTAGCTCATCTTTCTTTTTCGGTTTCTTTTCAATCTGTATAAACATAAGAAATATTATATAAACATGAAAACTTGATTAAATATATATTTTAATTATATACCTGTAAATATAAATTTATTTGCTCTGTTATCAATACAGAAACACTACGATATTTGTGATGAATTTTGTTGCCCAAAGTCATGAAACGCAACAGAAATATACCAATGGTGGTGGACCACATAAGAGCCTCTAAGTTTAAGTGTGAATGTAAATGTACCGAATCCTTAAGCCATTCTACACTTAAAAATGCCAATAATAGTAAGGTGATAATAAAAGCAGCTGATACTATAATGTCCACTGAACGCTGAGGTCCACGTTTCTGCAAATCAGTCAAACAATTATTGTTGAGACATTTAAGCAATAGCGTTTTATGCATACATACCTTCAAATATGATCTAACACTCAACCACGTTTTAATATTTCGCACTTTATTCAATCTAAAATGGGGTAAATTGGATTTTCTAGCCCGACGTGAAGATGTTAAATGCGAAAAAAGCTTTGCATATAAAAATCTGAAAATATTTACATAAGTATTTTTTTCCTTAATTTAAGTTACTTTCATAATATATGCATACCTTTGCTTAAAGGTCCTTTCGGCCACAGCAAAAATCATAAAAAGAACAAGAGTCAAACAAATGCGTTGTATTAAACCAATCACCAATACTGTACGTTCCCATTGTGTATGGCCGAAGGCAAATCGAAAAATGGCCATAAATGAAAATGAGGCCTTTTCCCATAACATCATGGGCAAATCTAAGTAATTTATTTCACTGGGATTTTCCGTATCGAGTGTCACTTCGCATAAACGACAAAAGCACGGTATCAAAGACAGCAGCAATGAAAAGAATATACCAATGTATATGTAATCATTTGTTTCCGGCATTGATTCTACGTTATCAATGATACACGATGATATTTCCAAAACCGACATTTGTGCTTTTTTTATTTCACGTTGATCCCAAATTGTGCAACTTACTGAATTGAAAATTTATAGGTTAATATAACAAGTATTTTTGAATCATTAAAACACATACTTCTATCACTTGTTCCATGGGGATTTAATATTGTGGTAGGCGTAAAATCCAAATCACAGTCATTTTCATCAGAATACTGATTACTTTTATAATTATCTGAATTGTCATATTCTGAACTATAGCTGCAGTCATCGCCTGTTGGTTTTTAAGAAAATTAGTAAACTGAAGTGGGAAATAATTCCTTGAATTATCTACTTACTGTTCGTTGTTATGCCCAACCATTCTGTAGCTGATGTTGTGCATTCGTTATAGTTCGATACATTGCCTTGTGAAGCTGGACTGGATATAAGTTCGCCATCATCGCCCTCATCCTCAGTTTCCTCGCTACTTATGTCACGTGATTTTGCACTATTCATTTGTTTCGTTGTTGTCTTATAATCAGGATTATCTGTGGTCGTAAGATGCACTCCTTTTCGACGATAACAAATGGAAGTGGTACTTTGTTGTAAAGGCTTAAAGTATACATAGAAGATAAATTTGTTACATCCGTTATTTTAGTTAATATACATACGCCAGAAATATACCTCATTTTGCAAACGTTGATGATTGTCTATGGTGTTTAAACGTAAACGTAATTGATTTTTTGTTACATGAGGTGAAGCGTTTGTATCCTCACCACTTGAACTTTTGCCATTGAGACTTTCGAAACCATCATCTTCGCCAACGGCGCGACGAGCACTGGAAACCGTACTAACGCCCCTAACAACTCCCGCTTCAGTTGAAACTGCAGAGGGTTTTGTTATGGGTTCTGTGGTACGATTGATTAGATCATCGTAGAATTCCTGCACACATTCATCGATACGTACTGTTTTTGTGGGCGAAACAGGTGACGTACTGCCTGATGAAATACTAGAGTTATCACCAACATGTGATGTATGTGTACTGCTAGTAGTGGATATGGATTGTGGAGAAGTTTGCTGTTGTTTTTCTTGTGTCGAAGTTGTTGCGGAGATGGCATATTTGTGAATGGGAGAATGCCAATTGACATTGCGTTTTCTAATCGAACACTCAGTGTCGTTGTCTAAATGTAGGAGATCTTCAGAATTTGAATGCGAGCACAGGGTTTCCACCAGATTTAATTTTAATTTATTACTAGTAGCAGTCTGAGTTAGAGGCAGGGTTGATGTGCAAGTTGTAGAATGAGATTGTAAAAGTAATATATCTTGTGTTGTGGCTGTAGGAGAATTGGTATTGTATTGTTTAGCCGACAGTACTGTAGTAGCAGTATTGGTAGAGGCATTAGAGGAAATCTCAGAATTTGATTTTGTTAAAATCTCTGTGCTACCAGCAGCATATTTTTTAAGAGACATGGATTTAATTGCAGTATTTTCAACCAATAAATCATGATTACGCATTCTTTTATTTTTGATAGAAAATTTGTTATATTAGTAGAACGAAATCTTTATACAATCTTTACTTACTTTACCAACTTTTTACGTCGACGCAATTTG